CCACACACACACACACACACACACACACACACACACACACAGAGAGAGAGAGAGAGAGAGAGAGAGAGAGAGAGAGAGAGAGAGAGAGAGAGAGACGCGCCGCATGCATTGGCAGGCCAGCACCACCTCGATTCGCGCGATCGGCGCGTCTCGCCTGCCGGGACGGGGAGGGAGGGGGGCCGATTGTTAACGCTTTGCGTTTGCACACATATGTTGCCCCACAAGAACGAACAGAACAAGCCGCGCGCGCCGGCCGCCGCTTGTAGCCCGCGCGGGGAGGTCACAGCGGACCCCGTGGGGGGTACCTGGCAGGTACACACAGGTCACAGCTACAGAGACAGGTTTTATGGTGTGCACAACGCATTCTCACCACACTCTCAGTCACTGTCTCTCCTCTCCTCTCACACACACCAGAAGAAGGAGACTCGTGATAAATTGGACATATTCTTTCACGGCATGTATAGACACAAGACGACAACACAAAGACCGATGACACGTTACGTATCGTGCCCCCGCTGCCCGCGCCAACGGCACTCTGCGCACACCGCACAGAAACCCACTCCCACGACAGCCGCACCAGCTAGTACGGAGGCGGCGGACGGAACGGAATGCCTCCACCTTGCCAGTTACCGCGGGGCCCACCTCGATGCCTCGAGCTCGATGCTCGAAATATGCAGCTCAATGTGAGACATCGCGCGATCGAATAAATAAATAAATAAAACGGACACCTCTACTAGGAGATGGGTAAAAAGGAACAGGTCCCCGCCCTTGCGATCTTTGTGCAGGGTTCTTTGTGGGTGTGGTCGGCGACTAGCCGGGGTCGTCCTCCCGATGGGGACTAGCATTAGCCGTCTTCCACATGGTCCCTCGGGTCCCTGCTGCTCCTAATCTCTTCGTACATCCTCCTGCTGATCTCCGCAAAGTCCTGCTCCCTCCCTCGTCTCACCCTGCGCGTCTGCTCCGCCTCACCGTCTTCTGCCCTGCGTCGTCTGGCGACGGGTCCTCCATAGTCGGTCGAAGTCGCCGCCCTCCTCGTGCCTCTTCCCAACGTTCCCTCGGCGGCCGATGCCGTCTGCTCCGGCTCCCCAGTCCCCGGGTCTGCCCTGCTCTCGTCTGCACTAGCTTCTGCTTCGTCATCACTGGCGCCTCTCCTCTTCTTTCTCCCCTTCTTGTATGCTTTGTACATCGCGTCGATTCCTTTTCGCGTGAGCACCAGCCTGAAGCCCGCCCAGCATCTGAACCGCTCCCTAAGTCGAAGGAGCATCATCAGTCTCACCCACTTTGCTCTCTGCCCACCGTCTCCGCTCCCTCCCGCTTGAGCCGCCGTCGCGGCCCTCGTTCGTCCCACTGGCTGTTGGCCTGTTCCCACGTTACCTCCATTATCCCTCCTCCTCCGCGACTCCCTCAAGGCCGGCCGAGCCTCCTTCCACCCAGCGAAGAGCTTCCTCATCCACTCGATGTGTTCCTCTCTCTTCATTATGCGCGCCGTAGCCTCATCATTGAGCTGGATCCACCTCTGCACCGCTCCCGTCGCCGCGTCGGCCACGACTTGCAAGTTCCTCGTGACCCCGGCGCCAAGGTCCCTCCGACTCTTCTCCGGGAGATCATCTACCAGCGCCGGCAACACCCCCCCGACGGCTGGTGCTAGTGCATCGTACCCGTCCTCATCCAGCACCCTATAGCGTGAGCCCTTCAGCGCAGCGACATGCGCTATTCTCAGCGTCTTCAGCGTATCCTTGGAGTCGGGTGCCGCCTGCGCTACTTTGCTGATCGCCGTCCCCGTCTGCGCTCGCGCTACTCTGAGGAACCATCTGGCCTGCTCCCTATTCCCCGGGCAGGCGCCGCTAAGCAAGTGCGCCATTGTCGCTCTAGGCGGGTTCTCATCTTCCTCGGTCCATTGCTGCGCGGCTTTCCGCACGATCGGGCACAGCGGGTCCCGCTTTAGTGCCGCCCTCCTCGCCGCGTCCCTCGCG